TGATCTTAAAGGTCTCTTTCAACCAAAGGATTTTATGATTGTATGACTCCAAGATGTTTGTGGAGAAAGTTTCTTGCTGGGACATAGGGCCAGTCCAGGAGAGAGCTGGTTGGGCAGTGCCTGCCTGGCCTGGCCTCCTGCTTGCAGGGAAATCCCACATTTCACATTTATTAATAAGCAAACATCCTTGTGATGTGTTTCCTTCCAGATGATCATTCCAGGGTGGTTTTGACACAAGTGGATGGAGTCCCACCTTCAGACTACATCAATGCATCATACATAGATGTAAGTTGACAGTTGGCCCCTGTTGACCCAACTGCAACCTTGGCCTGTGAATGAAACCTCTGCTCTGCTGGGATTTCACCTCTTAACTGCTCTGCTCTTTATTTCCACAGGGTTATAAGGAAAAGAACAAATTCATAGCAGCACAAGGTAATTGATTCTCATTTCTCTGCTCTGGAGATGTTGTGGCTGAATGTCTTGAGTTTTAGCTGTGTTTGAAAGGTTAGTTTCAGCTGCAGGTGGTGGCCAAATGTGAGGTGAGATGTAGAGGTTACAGCTGAGATGAGGTGGAAATGGGGGTGAGGTCACCCACTGCCTGAGCAAAGTGTCACCCTCCCCCTCCAGCCCTGCTCTGCTTCTCTTTCTTTCTTCAGCTCCTTCCTGGGGGGTTAGAAGTTGATGTCTCCTCATAAAGCATTTTGTCTAGGTGGTCCTGAGAACAGAAATCAGAGTTCTCCCCTGCAGCCTTAGGCTGTGTTTAGTCACACCTTTGGGGAGCTTGGTCTCCTCCATCCCAGACACAGAGCAAGTCATGGAATGGGTTGGGTTGGAAGGGACCTTAAAGAACATCCAGTTCCAACCCCCTGCCATGGGCAGGGACACCTCCCACTAGAGCAGGTTGCTCAGAGCCCCATCCAGCCTGGTCTTGGACACCTCCAGGGATGGAGCATCCATCCAAAATAGCTGCCCCTGCCCTTCAGAAATACTCCTGTCCTGCAGAGCACAGTGAGCAGCTCCCAGCAGTGGTTCCTGTGGTCACAGGTAATGCTGGACCTAGGCAAGGGCAGAGCTGGGAAGCAGAAATCCAGCATGTTCCTCCTGCCATAGTCCTCTTCACAGAGCATTAGATTTCAAGAGAGTCTGTTAGCAATATGGGTTTGAGTGTCTGGTGATGTGGAAGAAAAGCAGATGGGTTATTTTAAGAAGTGTGGGGTCTGGTGAGAACTGGAGTGGTCCTGCAGCAGCCCCACACCTGGGTGGGCACCCAGGCCAGAGGGGCAGGAGGGTTGGGACGTGCTGTCAAGGGCTGGTCTCCATCACCCTTCTGTCCTCCTCCTGCAGGACCAAAGCAGGAGACAGTTGCTGATTTCTGGAGGATGATCTGGGAGCAGAAGTCAGCTGTCATCGTCATGCTGACCAACCTGAAGGAGAGGAAGGAGGTGAGGAGCTGTGGGGCTGCTCTGAGATGTTCCTCAGAGAGCAGCCCCCAAAAGCAGCAGTGGCTGCTCCGTGCCCAGTGCTGGCTGAGCACTTCCTTCCCCAGGCCCTGCCAGCAGAGCTCAGTCTCTGCTCAGGAACATCATCCTCATTTCCAGACCACAAATACATCTCAGTTCATCTCCAGGAGGAAATCCCCATGGCCAATTTTGTCCTGGCCAGCCCACAGCCAAGGGCAGATTCTCCAGCCTGTGTGTTTCTCCTGGTGGGAGACTGTGCCTCTGGGTGGAAATGGAGCTCAAAACTTCAATTCTCTGCTTGTGAGGTTTCAGAATTCTTTCTGGCACGGGCACAAAGAGATTAAACCCCAAAGCTGGTGCTTTGTGAGGGTGCTGCTGTTCCTCCTGGCCACCCATCTGTGCCCTGGAGGTGTCTCCTGTTGTGTGAGAGGTGCCACGTGCTGAATGCTCCATGTGCACAAGGAGCAGGAAACGTTTCACTGTGTTCCTGCCTCACAGGCTTGAGAAGCCAAGCTCAAAGGGGAACAAAATGCCCCATCAGAAACACACAGGATGCTTTTAAACAGTTTGTGTAGGTTGGAAAAGTTCTTCAGGGTCATTGAATCCAACCATTAACTCTTGCCAAGTCCACCACTGCCCCGTGTCCCTCACCCCACATCTCCACAGCTTGGGAACCCCTCCAGGGGTGGGGACTCCACCACTGCCCTGGGCAGCCTGGCACAGCCCTGGGCAACCCTCAAGGGAAGAGATTTTTCCTCATGTCCAACCTCAACCTCCCCTGGCACAACCTGAGGCCAGCCTGAGCATGCTATGTACTTTTTTGAAGGATATTTGAAGTCCTCAAAGACTTATGCCCAAGGAAATGAAATCTTGGCTTCCTGGTGGCTGTGGGAACGAGGAGGAGGAGGAGGCAGAAGCCACAGAGTGCCCAAGTTGAGCTTTTCCTGCCCTCCCAGGGTGACCTCTCCTGCCCACAGGGAACTCCAGGGATAAGCAGCACTGGGTGGCCTCGGGGAGGAGGTGAGGACGTGCCTGTGAGGCACCATGTCCATGTTGCTGGGTGGAAGTTGGGCTTTGCCCCTTTTTTGGGGCAGTTTTACAAGAACAAAAGGATTCTGAGGACGGGCTCTCCTTGTCTGCCTCCTCCTGGTGGTGCTGCTGCTTTGGTTTTGCAGCTGAGGTGCTGCTTGCTGAAGCTCCAGCAGCCAATGCAGACCATAAGGAGAGAAGTTCCCAATGTGAGAAGCCAGAACTGGTAAATCTGGGTGGTCCTGATGACTCCAAGTGAGAGCTGCCTTGCACTTCCCACTGCCTGCACCTAGAGCTTGAAAATAAAGGGTCAAGGACATCAGAGTCCTCACAGCTAGGCACCCCCAACAAGAAAACCAAACCAAACTGAAAGCTCTTTGGGTTAAAAAAGAACTTCAGAGCTTTTCTCACCTTCTCTGCAACCCCTCTGCTGGGAGCCCAGCAGGAGAGAGTTGGGCTGGGGCAGCTGAGAGGAGAAGGCTCCAGGGAGACCTTCTGGTGGCCTTTCAGTGCTTAAATTGGTCTGTTAGAAAGATGGGGAGGAGCTTTCTAGCAGGACCTGTTGGGACAGGACAAGGGGGGATGGTTTGAAACTAAAATAGGGGGGATTTAAACTAGAGAGAAGGAAGGAATTTTTTGAGGGTGCTGAGCCCCTGGCCCAGGCTGCCCAGAGAGGTGGTCGCTGCCCCATCCTGGAACCATCCCAGGGGAGATGAGGCTCTGAGCACCCTGCTCTAGCTGCAGCTGCCCCTGTGCAGTGCAGGGGGGGTTGGATGAGCTGTCCCTGCAAATCCCTTCCCACCCAAACCATTCCATGCCAGGATTCTCTGCCTCACCCTCACCCTCAGCAGCAGCAGGCGAGTGTTGAAGCCACGTCGTGCTCGGAGAACTTCACCTTCAGGGTGACCAGCCCTGAAAGCAGCCTTCCAAATTCTAAACCTGCCTGTATGTTTGCACAGGAGAAGTGTGCCCAGTACTGGCCTGACCAGGGCTGCTGGACCTACGGGAGCATCCGTGTGTCTGTGGAGGACTCCATGGTGCTGGTGGACTACACCATCCGCAAGTTCTGCGTCACCTCGGTCAGTAGCAACAGCCCTGCCTGGCTGTTCTCCTCTCAGCTGGAAAGCTAACTCTTAAAAGGTGAAATATTGGCTTAAAAAAACCCTCAGGAAGGGAGGTGCTGCCTCTGTGGGGAGTGAGCTCTGCAGGCCAGCACCCAGAGCATCTGCTCCAGGCTCTGTTCCAAGAGGTTCTGCTTGGTCTCTTCTTGTCGCTCTCCACGGGCCACCAAAGAGTCATTCCCTGGTATTGGCAAGGAGGGAGCACAGGAGCAGTGGTTTGACTGTTTTTTTTGGACAGAACTTGTAGATAAATTGATGCTTGGATGTGTTTGAGGTGTTTGGAGTGGTCTGTGAGTATCAGTTGGCCAATGTCAGCCAGGGTTACAGCTGGATTTCTGCGGTGTCCTTGGTCTCTGGCACAAGGTGGAGCTTCAGATGACTGCTGGGAGGTGATAAACCACACAGAGCTGTGGGGAACTCCCTGCAGAGCTCAGAACCCCTCCAAAGAGATTCTGAACAGAGCCAGGGAGCTGCTGGAGCGGGGCCAGAGGAGCCCCAGCAATGCCCCGAGGGGGGAACCCCTCTGCTGGGAGCCCAGCAGGAGAGAGTTGGGCTGGGGCAGCTGAGAGGAGAAGGCTCCAGCTGGGGAGACCCCCTGGGGGCTGCCAGGGCTTAAAGGGGCCTCCAAGAAAGCTGGGGAGGGACTTTTTACAGGGACTTAGAGTGATAGGGTGAGGGGTAATGGGTTC